CCTCTCTCCATAACCCCCATCCGGAAAATCCTTCTCACGCCTCTGAAAAATGTAGTAATTGAACAGACTTAGTTTTCTCACTGAAGAGCAGAATATTCAAATGTCGGTTAATTTCCTTATCTCTGAATTTACTTCCACTCATCTTTCAACAAAGCACTAAGTCGAAGATGACGCATGGTCGGAAATTATAAATATGATCCTTGCGTCGTATTCCGCTCATCTCATTTAGGTATTTCATATCCTTTATCTTTCCATTTTTTTTTTTATTTATCCCACATGGAAAACAAGACGAGTGAGTATATGAAGCAAAATGGTAATTCTCTTTCAGCTATTTGATCAAAAATTTATTGTCTTGTTTTTCTTCGTTCGCCAAGAGGGATATAATGCAAAATTCGGTTAAAATTTTTTGTCGCAAATTGTCAAAATCTATTTTCGCTTTTACTAAAGCTTTTTCACTTTGTTCGCAGCAGGTGATTCGGTCGTTAACACACAATAAAAAATTTTTGTCACTAATCATCCAAGTTGTTATGACTGCGGTTTTTCTCTTCCGTCAGTTTATAAATTAAACAAACCCTTAATCAGGATTCGACGAATGGGATAATTGAGCACGTATTTGAGAAAAAATTGCGAAACGTGTTGACTTGTTGATGTTTGAAATGTTTTGTTGCATCCATACTCCGATAGACTGTAAAGTGATTTGCCCAACATGATTTAGAACAAAAACAATTTAGACCAGATAGAAAATGGCCGTAACCTCGAAGAAGGAAATTTTGCAACTAGAATATCGCCTGCCTTCGATTCCGTGAGGTTTTTAGTAGACTTAAAATGCTCTTTAAGCATTTTAGGTTTTTTTTTCAATTTAAACCGACGCTCTATTGATACCTTTCATAAACAACGCAATTAGTGTCTTTTTGTTCGACTCCAGGAGCAAGTGGGCTGATTGTTAACACTGCTTCCCTTGTAATCGAAAATAGTTCATGGAAGCCTACGTATTGAGCAATACAAACAATTTTTCATATTACCCGGCGTTTGTGCATACTTGTTTGGGAAAATTACGTTTGAGTTTTGATTTCCTGTCTTATGAAATCGTGTCGCAAAATTTGCCTCAAGCCGGTAATGTGACGACTTGTCATTTATAACTAGATATGAATTTTAAATGAAAATTGATGAACAAAAGTTTTAGGTATCAAAATTCAGGGAGCGAATTTTATATTACGAACAAAGTACCGCGAGAGTAATTGTCTTGAAACCCTGAAATTTAATCACATAATCAAGCTTTTTATTCATATCAAGTGACTCTTAAATCAAGCCGTACTTGTTTCGAAACCTTTTTTTACATTTTATACGTTCAACAGCTCAATTTCTAATTATAAGTACCAAGCTTTTAATATAGACATCTATAAATATTTTATTACAATAGTTGGTACATAATACGAGGTTTTTAACTCAAGTACCGGTAGGGCTTTGTTACCTGTAGAGGGATAAATGTCGCACTGCATTTAACAAGCTGGTTGAAAACCCTCAAGACGAAGCGTTGGCTTATAGTATTGACCGGTTAAACTTTGAGTTTCATGTGTTAACCAAATTAGCATTGCGTTCTACAACTTCGATGAGAGGTAATAATGACAAACATTGATGATACTCCACTGAGTATATGCCAAGCTCTCTTCGTAAACATCTTCCATAATGCATGGACAAATTGTTCTCGCTTTTTCTAACCAGAGTGAATTTTTATGCGCACCGTTAAATGCAAGTACGTGTTTGAAAGTAATTGAAAAACTCACCAATGAATCAAAGGGTACGATGAGGTCAAACCCTGGACACGAAGCTTTGCGACGAGGATTTGATCACATCTTTCAGACAACTGTTTAGAAGAGTATTGCATTAACTTTTCGGCACACCTTAGTTAAATCTACCTTCGTGTAAAGAAGGTACTTGCGCTTTAAAAAGAGGTTTCGTAGCTTTAAAAGGTATAGAAAATGTTTCTCTCTGTTTGATAAAAGCAATTTTATTTCCTAAAACTGCCCAGGATAATGCATACTGGTTAAGATGCTGCACCATTTCATTGCACTGTTTGCTGTGGCCATACTTTCTTCATGTGAAGGGATTTCCAGTCCTCATCCTGGTAACGTTGTTTCCATTCTTTTTATTGTACCTTAAAGTTGACTCAACATTTCGACAGAGGTAGAAGCCAGCTGCTTTTCACAGGACAAGTCACACGATCTAAACTACTTAGGCTTGCCAAAACTGCTGGAACCGGGGAATATTATAGTAATGCTTGAACATTATTAACGAAAGCAGGCTGGTATTTCTTCTCAGTAGAGAAAATGCCGTAATTTGCTTGAAGGTGCTGCGCCAGTCAAATAAAGATTCATTTTCTTTGGAAATAAAAACTATGGTTTTAGAGAAACGATTAGATATGGTTTCGAAATTTTTAAGAAAAAAGAAATAATTTTAAGTTGGTGATAGAGAACTAAGACGCTTGATCGTTTTTGATCCTACATAGTAGCAAGATAGAAGACATTTGTCGGACATGAATCTAAACTAGTCTAGCTTGCCATAGAGTACCCTTTAGCTTAGTTAAAAAAACATGGAAAGGGGTGCGTTTCGTCGTAGGGGAATCAAAAATGTCTTTTTTTCCCCTTTACTATTTCTCGGTTTGATCACTGACATCCAAACTTTCATAAGACGAGAACCAAAAAGATCGATGTTAAGTTGTTTGTTTTTCTTTCCTGTTCTATAGCAATCGAGTGCACAAACCACACAGTTTTAAACGAGGCAAGCAGATCTAGGTTTTTTACCAACTACATCGATAAGGTCAGCGATACCTCATTAACGGGCTGGTTTACATACAATGGCTCAGCCGGTACGCGCATGGCAACAACTTGCGTTCCCGCTGAACACTGCGGTACGTCAGTTCCCGGATGGCTGGCAGGTAACCATCCAAGTGTAGACGAAGGTTTAGTAGTACGATCAGTATGTCTCTCCATGTCACAAGTTTGTTGTATGACATCTGTGAGTGTACTTGTGAGGAACTGCAGCGGCTTCTTTGTCTACAAACTGGACGTGAATGCAGGTTTAAGCTTTACTTTTCGAGTGTGTGGAGCTGGTATTGAAGGTAATGTAATATTCTCCGAACTCCTTTCATCGATCGCATTTGTAGACGAAAACCCTCAGAGATTACAATGTAAATGCCTCCTCCATCGTCTGCCATCCACTTTCAAATCATAACCACGATATTAAAAACACTTTGTTTTTGCCTTTTTACTAAAATAAAAGTTATTGGGAGTTGTTTGAGATGTAAAATGAATTATTTATCGAGAGAAGGGGGAGGTTTCATCCATTTTGCGTCCCTCAGGGGAGGGATGGGTGTTAGTTAACTT